CTAGTCGGCACAGGCCGGGCTCCCCTCATAGCCCGGGCGAGGCTCAGCTTCGCATATCGGGCTTATCCTTATCTCTCTCTCTCTCTCTCTCTCTCTCTCTCTCTCTCTCTCTCTCTCTCTCTCTCTCTCTCTCTCTCTCTCTCTCTCTCTCTCTCTCTCTCTCTCACACACACACACACGCACACACACACGAATGTACATACACCTATGCTAATAAACCTACACACAACATTCACGCACATGTATTAGTATACACTTACATAGGTAGATGCATCAAACTTGTGTGTATATGTGTAACGTGTATGGAACAATGATATGGCAACACTGATGATAATTGCGATTGGTAACACTGTTATTTTATTAGACAGTCAGTCGCTCCCGGGCGAAGCCAGAACTTCGCAAATCGCAATCGTTATCTATCCACATTTGATAGACATTCTGTGGACACCCCACACCTACATGGCGCAGTAATTTTCTTGGAAAAAAAGTAAAGAGATGAACCGGCAGTGTGACCCAGCGATGCAGCTCGTGTTCAGTGACTACCCTCATTTTGTATGAGTATGAGTGATTTGTGTGGCGTTAGTGAAGTGCAGTGAAATCCTGTGGTGTATTGTGAGCAGGGAATACAGCTGTTATTCTATGCGCCCCCCGCATGTTTTGTCATAATGGCCAGAGCTACGCTTAACACCACATATGCCCAACAGCTCTGATGCCGCGCAGTCCGTCTGCGAGGCGCCACGAGTAAACTCCGAACCACCAGACACTCACAATATAGTTCATATAAGCCAAAATGCCTAATAGCGTTCCCTATCAGCATTTTTGTTTACCCCCTCATTGATTATGATAATTTATGAAAATTTTATTCGCTATTTTATGCTCTGCTTTCGTCCCCTCCCCCTTTGGAAGTCAGACCCTTTTGTCATAGAATTCAACTCCCCAACACATGAAATCGGTTCTAAATAAGCAGATATCGGTCAATATGTAGTATAAGGTAGTGACAGAGGTGGGTAATAAAACCTACATGAAATGATAGAACAATACAAACCAAGACAAAGTTCTTCTATGGCAATATGCAGGGCCGGATCCAGGATTGTTAAAAGGGGGGGGGGATGACCCCTATCCGAGACGATTGCGAGTGCCGAAGCACGATGCCTAAGTGGGATAGAAAGTTTTTATCAATTATCCCTTCTATTGCTGACTGGGATTTTTCCTACCTATATCCCACGTCTTTCCTTGATGATGTGTAAGAAATTCCTGGTCTAAAAAAATCATTACTCTGCCAAAAATAGGGGGCGAGTACGCTCCCCCCAAGATCCGGCCCTGATAAGTGTGCAAATGCTTCTCAAGGGTGCTAGACGTAAAAGAAACGGGAAGAAGATGGGTTACTTTCGAAACAATTTTGATATTTTTCTGCATGAAATCCACTGCTTTCAACGATTCTAGGCATTGTTCCTTGTGCAAATGGGCGACCTAAACCAACATCCAACCTAACCTAACACCGTATATATTCCCTAGCCAGGGGGGCTCTGCAATATATATATATATATATATGTATATATATATATATATATATATATATATATATATATATACATATATATATATATATATATATATATATATATATATATATATATATATATATATATATATATATATATATACATATATATATATATATATATATATATATATATATATATATATATATATATATATATATATATATGTATATATATATATATATATATATATATATATATATATATATATATATATATATATATATATGTATATATATGTATATATATATATACACCTCTCTCTTTGTTCCATTAACCCAGTTAATATGAAAATATAAATTCAATAAAAAAAATCACAGAAGGTAAAATAAAACTAAAAGCTAACTAAATAAATATATGATTATATGTATATTTATTACAAAAAGAAAGAGAGGTGTTTGCTTTAGCTTAAATATATAATCATTAACAATGTTTCACAGTACATCAATAATAAAAAATCAAAATCAAAACAACTACCTCCTCCCCCTCGATATCCCAGACATGAACCAGAGATACAGAAATCTAACTATGCAAGGTGGTCTCACCCCCCTACTTTTATAACCTCTAACTTCCTTAAATTTCAACACTTTACCTTCTCCTCCCCCCCTCCTTGGATCTCTTCACCTTCACAAGAGGAAGACACACCGTCTCCCTCATCGACATTGCCACCAGAGGCACAGCCAGCTAATGTCTCCATGGATACATACAACATTCATGCACATATATTAGTATGCATGTACATAGGTAGATGCATCAAACTCTGGATGAGCAAAGCGCCGTTCATTTCCCAACAGGAGGATGAGCATCATCTTGTCGCCTACCGGGACGTCAATGTCTCACCCACAAGGAACAGGACAGACGACTCCCGGATGAAAATGGATTCTGACCTTCTTAGGAGTGTTTCACAAGAGGGAAATAGCCTCAGAAGAGATATGAAT